AGAGTGTACAATGTTTCTGCAATGGGTATATCGTGCTCAGCATGCTCTCTAAGGACATTGGCGATCACTTCTTTTTTAAACAGACGCTTGAATACTAGAGCAGCTGCTATTGACTAAGAAGAGGAAAGAGAATATGTGATGACGCTCCGTCAATTTCAGCATTTACATGATGGATTCAGTATTGATAGGCTGGACAAATAAATGCTACCCCAGACAGAGCTGTGTCCCTTTACATGGCTCAAAGAAAAATCTAACCTTCGCAGAGTATCCCGCTTACCAAAATTAGATATTGATTTGGTCCAATAACAGGCCTTCCTGCAGAGGTGATTGACGTTACTCATTGGGTTGCCAATAATTGCTCCGTGGTAAATCATAATGCTGAAATGCTCTGTCGCAACCGAGATTCTCTGCGTGTAAACTTTGCAAGCACACCATGCTGTATGTATGCAGCCTTGCCACAGTATAACTTGTGCAACTCATTTCTGATGCCTTTGCCGTTTAAATAGTGTGCGGCCACACGACTGGAAGTAACAAGCAAACTACGTGTTGTGAGTTGTCCAACCACAGTCCATTTGAGGAGTTTTAGCAAGTAACAAGTAAACTACGTGTCAATTTGAGGAGTTTTAGCACGGATACATGAAGATGTGTGACAAGTCAACTAAATTGCTGGTTGGGGGTTCATCCCCAAAGCAGCATGATGTTGAACCAATTTGAAGTGATTTTTGGCAAGGGTGTATAATTTGCATGTCAGATTGTACAGAATCCAAGTAAATGGCAAAATGTGTTATCAAAGGAGAGAACCTTGCAAAGTTTACATCAATAAGGCCTTTAGAGTGCACCACTGATGGATGAATACGCCCTGATCCACTGGTGGTGGAACGGGTAGGGCAAGGGGGCCAGTGGCCACAACTCTTTCTGTCCACCCCTCTATTTTTGGCAGGTCCTATAATGGGGCAGGGCTAATGGATTATTAATGGCTGATACCTAATGGTCTCACAGTTGTGGTGCAAAGGGTCCATGTTCGTTATGGAGAGTGTACAACTGAGTGATTACTCAAGAGAGCAGGATTTTAGGAGAAAACAAATATCTCCAAAATTAAAGGGACTTATTTCGTCACTTCAGGGCGTAAATTCTAGGGGTGAGGTGGCCGGGCAAAGATGCAATGGTAGTGGGTGAAAGAAAAGAATAAGGAATACTGGTAGATCCTCAGGAATTCTTTATTCTAGTTTAATTTAAAACGCTTTGAAATAGACAGAGCTCGAGAGCATATGTGTACATGTACATATATGTTTATCCATAAAGAAATTTGCTATAAATAAAGAGTGCTGCCTGGCATCAAATGGCGTCTTGCAGCACCCCTCTGCCTTTCACACTGCCACAATCACCCTCATCAATTTTATGCCCCTGCTTTTTTCAGGCAATTCCAATATGCAAAGTGCATTTGAGTGATTTAGTTATCTGTCATAAGCCTTAGCCTTGACTATGAAGGCAAGATCAGACAGGCGAGGCATGTGCAGCAACAGCGGTCGATCCCGGCACTGCTGCAGGGGGTGAGTTATCACTCCACTGATTTCATGTAGCTCGCTGTAGTAAATCTGCTATTGGAAAGTTCCCTGCACTGTGTGCTGTACTGATTACGACCATCCATCACACAAGCACAAGAGTGTTGCCATGGAAACAGTGATGAAGATCATGCAGACGACCACATTGCCACTTGAGGAAAAAACAAAACAAACCAAGTTCCAGTCGCGTCAAGTTCAGCATCCTCTAATTCTGCCGCTGGAGATTTTGCTACTGTGCCACAACATCTAAGGAGTTTGGTAAGATCCTTCAGGTCGCACTCATCACCTTCCCACTCCTTGATACAACTGAAGAGGCACTCAAGACCCTGTGGCTGCCATCAGAGACTTTACCATGACATTTCCATTCTTCGGTGTCTGTGAAAGAAATACCTCCCAGGCCCTTAGGAGTTTGGCTGGGAGATGACAAGAGATGCATACAACATCAGCTGGACCCCTCCCCCCCAAAAAAAAATTCATTCGGGCATGTATTGGCAAAGGGGAGTCCTCAGGAAGTGATACTAATCGAGATGGCTCAAGGTGGATTTTCATTCTAAATCCAAAAGAACGTTTGGCCTCCAAATGACAAGGTGGGCCTGGGAAACGGATTACGTGTGACCTTTTGACAGTCAACAGGGTAGGCAGGTACACTTTCCAAAGAAAGCGGTTTATGCACTCGGAACTACTGAAACCTAGATCTGCCAGAGGGCTACCTGTACCACGGGGATTTGATACTCAAACTAAATCCTTTTATATCATAAAATTGTCAAAATGGTGTTCTCACTTGATGTGTTCACTGCACAGGCTACAGGCATGTTTTGCCCTGCCTCTCTTTGAGTTAACCGTAAAGACAACTGCTATTCTTGAATGAGCAATTAATAAGGGTGGAAGATTAAGACTTGTAACGTGAACATTTATAAAAGCAGAAGGATCGTACATAAACTTGTGTGTCTGAGTAAGAAAATTGAAGCAACTGCTCTTCCTCAATCATTACAGTGGCTCTGACAACTGGAGCACAGTCTACATATGCTTGCTGCATTAAACACTGATCCAATCTGATTCGATCGACTGAGGAAAGCCCTGTCCCAAATTGACACTTCGTTTCACTCCCCTATCCTTCCTCAAGTGTCCAATATCAAAATGTGCCACAGGCCACAGTATAAATAGCCCCTCCTCCAACACTCACAAACTGATGGCCCTTTTCCAATTTATAAGCAATGATCCAAATCTTCAAAAAAATGTCTGCGCGGGAGCAGCAGGCTCAAGTTAATCTCTTTGCCGAGTATGAAAATAGCATTAGCATTGGGATTTAACGGCTAGATATCAAATTGCTCACCAAGCTTCTGGAGTATACAGCTGCATGTTTCGGTAGTTCCAAGAGATTTGTTTACGCCAGTTTACACACATTCCCACACACCCAAGTTCACAAACCCCGGCCAATATTGATAGCAGTGTCTAACTTTTTTCAGGCAAACAATTCCACACCCAGCCAACACTATCACACACACACAGTCAAACTGCCACAAGGTCACCACTTTATCAGCAGGTCTTAGAGCAACGACTTTTAAGAACTGCCTAACGTGTGCAGAATGTGCATTGAAACACAGCTACACAGCAGTAGCTATACCAATTGGGAAAAGAGCAGGGACCTGAGAGATAAATCTGTGGAAGGGCGGAAGGGAGGGCGCTATTTCCTTAGCAACGGAGGCTCCTTTGGTACTGACTGCACATCACTGGTTTAGGAAATCAAGTAGTGCAGTCGCATCGCTACCAATAAAATAAATACTCCAGACCAACGTGGCTCTTTTCAACAGATGAGGGGGTGCTTCTGCTTGAAGCAGATTATGCTTTGGAAATACATTTACATGTACCAGTATAAAGTAAACATTACCATTTCTGGGTCTCTACTGACTACAGTACAAGACATGAATACATTCTTATAGTTTTCACACAGACAACAGCATAAATATAAGTTTCTGATGGCTTTGTACGGGAAGACACTCCTATCATCATGGACAGTCAATCGGGGGGGGGGGAAGACATGTCAACTTTCAGGTTATGGCAGGGGGAAAATATCACATCAGCTGAGAAAGTCAAGCTGTAGAGTCTCTGTCTTCATGAACCGACGAACTGAGTGTCATTGAGTGCAAACGATTCCTAAATCATTACTCTTTGTAAAACTGCAAAAATCATTGATACAAAATGTCCCTCCTCCAGTCATTTTTTGAAAAGGCTTAGCAGAACAGATCAAGTTGTTTTGGTAACCGTAAGTATAGAATAAGGGCACAGAAGGAGTTTGAACTGCCCGGGCAGTAACATCTGGCCTATTACTGCTTTCTGGCATGCCTGGTGTGTCCATAGCCAGAGCGCAGTGAGCGCTTGCTACACACCATCTGTTTCACAACCACGGAACCCCTTTGTACCCTATGATCGTCGCCGCACTTTGTCGCTGGTAATCTACATCCTTAAAACTTTGTGTACTGAGGTATAGGAAATTGAATATTCATGATTTGTAGGTACTTGGCATGATCTCATGACAACATCAAATTTAATTCTTGTGCAGTTGCTTGCATTACGCTGTGTGCCTTAGATCTGTATGTGCAGTCATTGCCCTGAATAAGCTCATTCTTCTGGAGTTATTTTGGGAATAAATAGCCCAGTTGTATACAAGATTTTGTGTTTTGTTTGATTCATTTTTATAATGGCATTTGTACAAAAGCGTATTTTATGAGATTTCACTATCACACCCTGTGATGAAATAGCACATTTTGTTCCTAATGAACTAAGCTTTCCAGAAGTAGTGAACATTTTGTTGGCCAGTCTTAGCCAAATTCGTACCAAGTCTTTGAACACTGATGTATTGGACGGAGGAGAAAAAAATTACAAACATTGCATGGATAATGGAACAGTGTATAAATTTTTAAAAGTTTATTTACGATGACAAAAGTAGGTCTAATATCAGGTCTAATATCACTTGCCCGGCTAAGATGCAGGCAGTAATCAGGCCTTTTTGGAATGTTTTCTATTATTCGTCTGGCTCGGCGGCGACCATCATCGAACACGTTGAAGTGCCTGAGTTGCAATTCCCTCTGTGTCCTTCCTCTATGCCGTAAATAAATCACTGATCGATTCTGCCTGATATCCAGGATATCCAGGCCAAAAACACTCAGAAGTCAACGAGTTGACGCTGATCACATTTGGGGTACATATCTGTTCCAAGAAACTTAAAACCACACCCCACAGATACAATAATTCACAAGTCATTCCATTTCACATCAAGTCCCAACCTAGTAGGATGAAACGTGACAAAGGCCTTCCTCGGTCACCGTTCATGCTGTCACTTCATTTGCAAATGACTTGTAAAGAGCTGGATTACAACTTTAACAAAAAGCACCAAACCTTATTCTATCTGGCCAAAAGATCAAGATGGTAGAAACTTACCATTTTTGCGTCCATCCATTTTTAGTACTTCATTAATTGATTCCTGTTTCATTGGTATTCTTCGGACCTGTTTATGAGAATTACACAAGAAAGCCTCAATTGCAATTTTCAGTTATATCATGTACATGTATGTGTTTTCACAAGACACAATGCACGGCAGAATGTTTCTGGCCAGACTGACAAAAATACAATGCAGTTGAAATTCAGCTTCACTGTATGCAGCTCATCAAAATAACATTGTTTGTCCAAAGAAAATGATTCCCAAAAATGTAACCAGCTGGAGTAGCTTTTTGAGGGAATAGGGTTAGCCACACAGATGTAATGAACATGCAACCTGTCAATAACTATCCAACATATTTATTTTACCTGTGACTGAATTTTTCAAGCAGGATTAATTTAAACATAAAACTGCTTTAAATAGGAACAGTACATAGAGGGCGCCATTTTTTCACACAAGACTCAGGGATCTTCATGTATGTGGGAAATTGGCTTTGCCAGCTCAGTGATCATTTAGAGGGTAATGTTGTCTCCACAAAAGCCTAATGATGTACCCTCAAAAATTTAAGTCTGCAAAACCTGAACCATAGTAATGTTAGTTGACATTTGCGAGTGATTTCCTACAGGACATTACGTACTAAAAAAAAACATGATCAAAGATGTTATGCAACATTTGCATTGTTGTAACAGATGAAAATTCTCGTGAGGTGACAGTGGTCATCAGCTGTACACACTTCTGACAACACTCGTCAGGTGAAAACCATAGGCTAGGGGTACGGGCTAATTTCTAAAGCAACCTCATTGGATGTTCTCACAGACTCTATGAGGCAAAGAGCACGTTTCCAACTGACCTCAATGAACTGTTTGACTGACTCAGCCCTGGCCATGTATCTCTGCACCTCGTTGTTGAGTATCTCCCTTCTCTTTCCTCGGGGCTCATGTTGGAGAATGACAATGAGTTGCTCTAAGGAATCCTGGTACAGCTTGAAGGCTGCCTCGTAATTTTCCTTTGCATCCTGCAAAGAAAAACAAAGAAATGTAGAAAACCAACTTCTCTTTGTAACAGTATAGGAAAATGGCTCTTGGAATAAAATGGCGGGCAGTGGGGGACACAGGGCCAACACCTAACTTGAGAATGCTTGTATTCACTGGGACTAAATCCATTTAGAAAGCAGCCTGATCTAAACAAATGAGTGAAAGGAGACACTTC